TTTCTCATGTTTAGGGCACGAATTATGGAGGGGCAAGAATATACGTTTGTCCCTCCTCCAGAAGTTTCTTAGGGAACGTTGCCTCCTCTGCCGCTCCGTGTCCGTCGCCCCTGTAAGCGGTCACTGAAGGCCTGGGTTGCCGCTGCGTCACGTTGACGCTTATAAGGCCTCCAAAACTAGGTTGAAGAGAGGAAAAGTTCAATTGAACGCGAACACTTGTCATGAAAGGCATCGTATGATAAAGTATATGGGCATCTGGTTACATCTTCAGATGATCGAACAGAACAATCAGGTATGTTTGTTGTCTAAGTTTTGTCACAAATTATGGGGGGGGGGGCAAAAAGATACTTTTGCCCCCCCCCCCCACGAATTTGCCAGGGGGGGGGGGCAGCTGCCCCCCCTGCCCCCCCGAATCCGCCGCCCCTGGTATGGTACACAATCATTTCATACGCAATGGGGACAGTACGTTACAAGTGGCTTCACTGTTTGCAATGGGGTCAGACATGGGGGGCATTCTTTCACCATTTTTGTTTAATCTGTATGTTGATTCTTTGTCTGTGAGCCTTGATAACACTGGTGTTGGCTGTCGCTACCTAGGTAGTATGAACCACATAGCATATGCTGATGATATGATTCTTTTGTCACCCACGCCGTTTGGCCTTCAGGTCCTACTAAACACATGTGAAAAATATGCGAATGAACATGACATTGTTTATAATACGAAAAAGACTGTGTGTATGTGCTTGCGCCCAAAAATGTTCAAGAATATGTGTTTGCCACAGCTTACTCTTTGCGGTGAAACTCTGAAATATGTGAATAGCTATAAATATTTAGGTTTTAATATTTCTAAAGACTCAACTGACAATTTGGAAATCCAGCAGCAATATCGTTTACTGTGCTGTCGAACGAACTCGCTGATTCGGAAATTCTCGATGTGCTCGTATCAGGTAAAGAAGTTTCTGTATATGTCCTATTGTGCCACTGTATATTGCCTTCACCTTTGGCACGTGTTCAATGTGTCTGTTATCAACAAGTTTAAGGTTTGCCTGAATAATGCTGCTCGAATGTTTTTTGGCTACGAGAGATTCTGTAGTGCTTCTGCAATGCATGTTCGCGAAGGCATTGATAGCTTTGATGTTATGTTCAGAAAGTCATCATGGATATTTCTCCGAAGGCTCGGTTTGACCAAAAACACTGTTTTGAGCGCTCTTGTGAACAGTGATGTGAGCATACGCTCTAGATATAGGGCTGTGTGGAATCGGGCACTGTTGGCAGTGTAAAGTGGTTCTGTCTCATTTACAATTGGACCATGAGTCCGTAAATACAGTTCTCTCTCTCTCTCTCTCTCTCTCTCTCTCTCTCTCTCTCTCTCTCTCTCTCTCTCTCTCTCTCTCTCTCTCTCTCTCTCTCTCTCTCTCTCTCTCTCTCTCTCTCTCTCTCTCTCTCTCTCTCTCTCTCTCTCTCTCTCTCTCTCTCTCTCTCTCTCTCTCTCTCTCTCTCTCTCTCTCTCTCTCTCTCTCTCTCTCTCTCTCTCTCTCTCTCTCTCTCTCTCTCTCTCTCTCTCTCTCTCTCTCTCTCTCTCTCTCTCTCTCTCTCTCTCTCTCTCTCTCTCTCTCTCTCTCTCTCTCTCTCTCTCTCTCTCTCTCTCTCTCTCTCTCTCTCTCTCTCTCTCTCTCTCTCTCTCTCTCTCTCTCTCTCTCTCTCTCTCTCTCTCTCTCTCTCTCTCTCTCTCTCTCTCTCTCTCTCTCTCTCTCTCTCTCTCTCTCTCTCTCTCTCTCTCTCTCTCTCTCTCTCTCTCTCTCTCTCTCTCTCTCTCTCTCTCTCTCTCTCTCTCTCTCTCTCTCTCTCTCTCTCTCTCTCTCTCTCTCTCTCTCTCTCTCTCTCTCTCTCTCTCTCTCTCTCTCTCTCTCTCTCTCTCTCTCTCTCTCTCTCTCTCTCTCTCTCTCTCTCTCTCTCTCTCTCTCTCTCTCTCTCTCTCTCTCTCTCTCTCTCTCTCTCTCTCTCTCTCTCTCTCTCTCTCTCTCTCTCTCTCTCTCTCTCTCTCTCTCTCTCTCTCTCTCTCTCTCTCTCTCTCTCTCTCTCTCTCTCTCTCTCTCTCTCTCTCTCTCTCTCTCTCTCTCTCTCTCTCTCTCTCTCTCTCTCTCTCTCTCTCTCTCTCTCTCTCTCTCTCTCTCTCTCTCTCTCTCTCTCTCTCTCTCTCTCTCTCTCTCTCTCTCTCTCTCTCTCTCTCTCTCTCTCTCTCTCTCTCTCTCTCTCTCTCTCTCTCTCTCTCTCTCTCTCTCTCTCTCTCTCTCTCTCTCTCTCTCTCTCTCTCTCTCTATTGGTTCCCGAGTTATGCGTTGGCTTCTTGGAAATTGTCGACATTCAACCTGAAAATCGGCGAAAATTTGCCTTCAATGACCTCTGGTGACCTGACCTTTGACCTGACCAAAAAAGTGACCGAAGTGATTCCGTCATTCGTCATTATTTTTGGCGCTCTCTCGAACGCCGCCTTCCGCGTATCGCTACGTGGCCCAGGAGCCGAGTTAGAAGGGGCTGGTGTACAAACACCCCCTCCCCCCAGCAGGGCGTGGAAATCCAGGACCCCCAGTCGGGCGCGGGTTAATAGCTGTTTTCACGACGGCTATCTGGTGCACATTCGGGACAGATTTGGTGCATATTTGGTCAAATAAGGTTCATTAAAGCCGTTTTCTCGACGGCCATCTGGTACACATTTGGTGCACATCTGGTGCAGATTAGGTGCAGATTTGTTCAAATTAGGTTCAGTGTGTCTCTTTAGTAGTTATCAGCTAGGGTTGCACTAATTGCTTATATGCCTGCTTTGTCATAATATCAAAGAGCATCATCGATTAAAACACTGAAATAAATTCATTAAGTAAAGATAGTTGCTGTAAAAGAGATTAGGCACAGATTTGGTCAAATTAGGTGCACTCGCCGGATAGCCCGTCGTACAAACGGCTAGTATTTCTCAGAAGTTATCAGTTTGGGTTGCACAGTTGCTAATATAGGATTGTTCTGAATGTTCAATTTATTAGCCATCATTTTCGATTCAAATATTGAAATAAATTCATGATATGAGGGTATTTGTTGAAAAAAGAAATTAGGTGCAGATTTGGTCAAGTTTGGGCATTCGCAGATAACCCGCCGTGGAAACAGCTAATACCTATAACTCGTCTAGGGCGCGGGTTAAAGATGAATTCGGTGTTTTCTTGCTGAAAAATTACTTAGTTCAGGTCAGCTGAGGTCAAATGGAGGTCAAACTACGTTTTTGCTAATAACTTCGCCCACAATGAGGCTAGAGCTTCAAGAAATCGTATCATTGTGTTTCTTGGGATCAGCCGAATCGAATGACATGCGATATGGTGCAATTTGGTTAACTTGAACTTAATTAATTGATTTAAGTTCACTAAAAATTAGGAAAATTTGAAGCTAACTTAAACTCGTAACAAAGTAGGTATACCATTCGATGTGCACGGACCTATTGAGTTCACTGATGCTTTTGTGTTTGCTCTATCTCAGTGAGATAAAAATATAAGCGAAAATCTTTTAAACTACAGGGTTGTATTTAAGCGAAATTTTTGCATTTATAACCCCCATAGCCCCCCAAAAAATATTGACCTAGAGTAGCCAAATTCGCACAGGGGCGAGATCTCCTATGGGCCCACCTACTCTGTAAATTTTGCGTTTCTAAGTGCCATAGGCAATCGCCAGGGGTGTCGTACCCCCCCCCCCTCCCCCGGCCGTCCGGGTTATGAAAAAGGCCCTGGCCTGGCGAGGGCTAGGCGGTCGCTAACAGGGTGCCAAATTTGGGTGCAATCGGCCCAGCCGTCCCAGGATCTGGAGGCGGCATCCTGCACGTGCGCACGTGCAAACTGAGTCAAAATTGACTTTTGCACGGCACCCTAATATCCGGTCCCCAACCGTGTACAAAACTTGAGCGCAATCGGCCCAGCCGTTCTCGAAATCTGAAAGCGCTCCCTGCACGTGAAATGTGAAGCAGCATCCGTCGGTAACCGTCAACACATACGAATTGCGTTAGCCGTTTTCACGACCGCCATCTGGTACACATCTGGTGCACAATTGGTGCAGATTATGTGCAGATTTGGTCAAATCAGGCTCAGTATAGCCGTTTAACGGCGGCCATCTGGTACACATCTGGTGCACATTTGGTGCAGATTAGGTACAGATTTGGTCCAATCAGGTTCAGTGTGTCTATTACTAGCTATCAGCTAGGGTTGCACTAATTGCTTATATGCCTGCTTTGTCATATTATCAGAGAGTATCATCGATGAAAACACTGAAATAAAATCATAAAATACAGATATTTGCTGTAAAAGAGATTAGGTGCAGATTTGGTCAAATTAGGTGCACTCACCGGATAGCCCGTCGTGAAAACTGCCAATGTCTCTTTCAAGCTATCAGCTAGGGTTGCACTAATTGCTTATATGCCTGCTTTGTCATATTATCAGAGTATCATCAATGAAAACACTGAAATAAATTCATAAAATACAGATATTTGCTGTAAAAGAGATTAGGTGCATATTTGGTCAAATTAGGCGCACTCGCCGGATAGCCCGTCGTGAAAACGGCCATTGCCTGCTGGATGCCTACCTACATGCCAAGTTTCAGCAAAATCGCCCCAGTAATCAGTTCACCGAGTTATTGTAGTTATTGATTAGTCACTCGGTGTAGCTACGGCAAACATTGAAACTTTTTATGAGGTGAGGTCACTGAAAGTGACCTGGTAGCCTGACCTTGAGTGGCCTTGGTCTGAAAATTTCACAGCGTGTGCAGAGGAGATGTATAATAATGTGTGCCGAACACGGCGGCGTTACGCGCCGCCGTTTTTTGAGGTAGTTGCGAAAAATCTGGGGGGGGGCGTGAATCACGCCCCCCCCCCCCCAGCACGGCGCTGGTTATGTATTTGGCGACACGTCGGGACTTAAAACCCGTTCTAACTAGTTTCCAGCACGCCCGTTACCAAAGAAGTGCGCACTCACTTGAAGAGCGGCTCCTGTTTGAAGGAGTGGTTGACTCCAGTCACCCACTCTAACTCGCAGTCGCACGTCCAGGGGTTCATCTCGAGGTCGATGAACTCGACGCTGCTCCAGGGAAGCAGCTCGGCGCTGAGCTGGGTCAGCGCGTTCTCCTTGAGGTCGACCAGCTGCAGGCTGGCCAGGAACCTCTCCGAGCCCTCGTGGCGGAATGCCGACGCGTCCACCTCGGTCAGCGCCGGATTGAACTGGCACAGCAGCTCCTCGAGCTGGTCCAGGCCGCTGAAGGCGTGCCCCTCCACGCGCTGCAGCGTCTTCATGGAGCTGAGCACGAGCCGGCGCAGCTCGGGGCACTCGGCGAAGGCGCCGGCCGGCACCGTCTGCAGCTGGTTGCCGCTGAGGTCGAGGTGGCGCAGGCCGGCGGCGCGCCGCAGCGTCTGGTGCGGGATCTCCGTCAGCCGGTTGTGCGGCACCAGCAGCGTGATGAGGTGCGGACAGGAGGCGAACAGCTCGGCCGGCAGCTCGCTCAGGTCCGTGCTGTCCAGGTCGATCTTCTGCAGCTGCGGCAGGAACAGCATCGTGTCCGGGGCCAGCGTCACCAGCGGGTTGTAGTGCAGCTGCAGCTCACGGATCGCAGTGCCCGAGAACAGCGACGGCTCCAGCGTGCGCAGCTGGTTGAAGCCCAGGTCGAGCCGCGCCAGCCTCGTCAGACCCTCGAAGGCGGTGGCGTCGATCTCGGCGAGGCCGTTCTTGTCGAGCAGCAGCAGCTCCAGTCCGGGCAGGTTGGAGAAGGCGCGCGGCCCGACGGCGGCGATTCGGTTCTTGGAGAGGCGCAGCACCTCGACGGCGGCGTTGTAGCGGAACTGATCGCGTTTGACCTCGGCGATGCGGTTCTGCTGGAAGGAGACGGACGGAATGCCGTCGGGCAGCTCCAGCTCGGCGGGCAGCTCGGCGATCTGGCGGTCCGAGCAGTCGGCGCCCTGGTGGAGGCGCGACTGCTCGCGCGGACACAAGCACGGCGCGCCCAGCGGCGACTGCTCGGTGCACACGGAGGCCGAGCTGCCGAACAGGTCGGCGTACAGCGATCCGCCGACTCCGGCCGCCAGCAGACAGAGCAGGGCGGCCAGCCGCGGGACGGCGTTGGGCGCGGGCATCTGCGAACAGCCACCGCACGTCAGACCACAGCCGGCGCCGCTGGCAGTGCCGCGCGGGCCGACAGGGACGGTGCCACTGCAGACCACGGAGACCACCCGCCGTGCTGGCACTGGGTGGCGGGGAGTGGCGCTTGGGCAGCGCAGTACCCGTGGTAGGGCTAGTACAGGGGCTCGGACAGTGACGAGGTGGCGCTCGGACAGTGGCGGGGTGGAGCTAGGAGAGAAGTGGGGTGGCGCTCGGACAGTGGCGGGGTGGCGCTCGGACAGTGGCGGGGTGGCGCTCGGACAGTGGCGGGGTGGCGCTCGGACAGTGGCGGGGTGGCGCTCGGACAGTGGCGGGGTGGCGCTCGGACAGCGGCTCGGACAATAGCGGGGTGGAGCTAGGACAAAAGTGGGGTGGCGCTCGGACAGTAGTGGGGTGGCGCTCGGACAGCAGCTCGGACAGTGGCGAGGCGGTGCTCGGACAGTGGCCGGGATGACAACGGTCGGGTGTGGCGCTCGGACAGTGGCTGAATGTGGCATGCTGGGCGGGATGGGTGGCGTGGCGAACCAGGCGCTTCAGCAGGACAGTCGATAAGTGCGGTATGCCCACCTAGGTAAAGTAACAAAGACCTGTATCGCCCAATGGAGTGGAACGCAAAACAGAGTGAACCGCGGTCACGGCTGATGTGCTCAGCGCGATATGAACGACGTTATCTGGCTGTGTGGGGTCGGAAGTAACCGGACTCCGGAGTAGTGCCCCCCCCCCCTCCTCCCCCCAATCGGGGCCGACGCTGCGGCTTACATGGGCGTCGCGCGATACGGTCGCCGTGAAATGTGAATCACAGAGGTTGACGCATTGCGACACAGCTATGACGAAACGATCGAAGTTCACCTTATGGGGAAAAACAGTTTCTATTTAAAGAACATTAAAGTGAATTAATTACCGATGTAAGTACCGACTTATCGGTTTAGTGACTTCTTCCTGCAACCAAGTATGGGCCCCAGTGGCTCTTTGTTGTACTGCAAATTTATGTCTTTATGTCTTCCTAGGGTGCCTCTCATAGCGCTTCACCTATCCGATGCACAAAAGCAAGGAAAATTGCATTGATATGTGGAATTGAACATTGATCCCAACTCCGTCTGTGATGTTCCCAAGTAGGTAATGCAACGTGTGTAATCTATTCAGAAATTAAATATGAAATCGTCGTGTTCTTTTTCAATATCGTTCCGCTTCAAGCAACTCCTACCTACGCCGCCTTGCATAGCTTGAGCTAGGGAATATACCTTTAGAAAACAATTAGGTTAATGCGCCTTGCAGGTCTCTGCTGTTGGTGACATGCATGACAAACGGTAATCTGTCTAATAAAACTAGATATTTCAATGACGCAATATGTGGTAAGTGGATGTGCAGGTGAGCCTGCATGATTGATATGATTGTTATGCACGTTCACATATAATTTGGTCTGATGTCCATTAGAACTATTTAGGATGTGTTTTTGTCAAGGATGCACCTTGATAGGCATACCTACGTTTAGTAATTTTACTTATCAAAAATACATCTTGATCCTTCTCCTGAGCATCGACTAGTTTGTTTGTTAACCTTCATACCCTAACCATCTCAATGCGAAGTTTTGTTACGATATAACACAATACAAAAAATCTATTTTGTCATGTCGATGCATTGACCAAGACTGAAACATAGCGGCATAAATCCGATGAGAAAGGCACATTTGGGGAACCCTATACCCTGGTAAGCCCTATCATATATGGCCGTCCGCCGTCTTTGGACCCTACCAATCATTTTCGGAAAACGACACCCTTCGTGGGGGTTTCGGCGCTCACCTTGCTGCTGGCAGATCGGTGTGATGGTGCTGTCCCGTTTTGGCGCGGGCTGACCGATGGCGCGAAAGTCGGGATTGACACTCGGCGGTGGTGCGGGCACGCCAGGCTGCTATCACAGAGCTATCGGCCCAACCATGCCGACGCGGGGACACCAGATAACGCGGCACCGCCGGCGCCGGTCGGCCACTCTGAACTGGGGACGCACACCGCGCGCGGCGACACACACACACACACACACACACACACACACACACACACACACACACACACACACACACACACACACACACACACACACACACACACACACACACACACACACACACACACACACACAAATTACGGGGGGGGGGCAGAAACTGCCCCCTGCAGATTAGACTTAACCCTCGCCGGACCTATTGGTTTTCTACATACGCACCGGCCGAGGGGGGGGGAGGCGGGTACGAGTTGGAAAAGTTGCATGAACAGTTGTATTAAAAAACGGCGGCGCCGTGCGACGCCGTTCTTCAGATATTCGCGAAAAACCTAAGGGGGGAGGGCACGACTCCCCTCGCCGTTTCGCCTCTGGTGGAGCTAGCGTGTCGCGGAAAACACGAGCGTGTGCGCAGTTACGAAACGCAGAGATTGATACCCGATTTTAAGGTCCTGGGTCAACCGGTGACCTCTGAGGTCAGGTCAAGTGCCCCAAGGTACGGTTCCGTTTTTGGTGAATAACTTCGCCAAAAACGGCCGCAGTGCCGCGATTTTGGCAGCATCGTGTTCGCCTCGCTAAGTCGCATCGAATTATATACTTTTTGTTTGGATGAGGTCAACTTAGGGTGTTGACCTCGGGTCACGGTCAGGTCAGCGCCCCCAGGTCACGAACTTGGTCGAAGGAGGTCATGTCGCATATCATTCGATTCAGCAGGTCTTCCTGAGTCCATTGGTGGCTTTCCCAGACTCGCTAGCTCAATTTGTTTGGGAGTTATTGACGAAAAACTAATGTGACCTTGATGACGTCATGAATGACGTCATGCAAGGTCAATATCGCAAAAGTGACGCATCGAACCTTGCAAGGAGGTCATGAAATCATGATTCAGTGTGTTTGAGATATTTGGAGTTTGTTTCCGGTGCCAGAATAGCAGTTTTCATTTTCCCCATTGACTTATAATGGTGAGGTCACGAAAATGACCTGACCTCATATGACCTTTAGGAAAAATCCGAGATATTAAAGTTGTGACACTCCTAATGGATACTAGGTAGACATTTTACTTCCATTTGCCAGAAGATGAGACTTAGACCTGATTCAACAAATAAACTGCAGCCATTTTTGCAAAACCTTGCAAAAACCCGTCTTACCCCACCCCATGGGGTAAGACGGTCACATGGGTCGCAAGCACAGCTCGCAACAAATGCCCGAGATTAGCCGCATTGATACAGTCGCTCGTTGGTCTCAAGTGCTTCGGAAAGGCAGTATACGAGATGCGGCAGAAGGCACATGCTCGTATATAGGCCCTAGTTCAGAAGCCATGTAGAACCGTTTTTCACATTCATTATTCGAGAATAAACTGTGCCGAAGGAATAACATGTCTGTGAGTATCGGAATCGAACATATTTTTATTAGAAATGCTTCTTTTTTCCTGCAGCAACAAAAATATTTTCACCATTACAGACCCATTGGATTCATACTTGCCCGTGTTACCCAAAACTCAATGTCAGAAGTTCAGCACGATTTTTCTCTGTGGATAATTTAATGCAGACAAAGCAAATCCGCGGTAAATGAACACTGTGGCAATATGAGTGCACCACAAGTGATTGCGAGTTTTTAACTCTATAGTGCTGCACACAAAAGCTTGCACAATACATCATGGATGTTTTCGATGAAACGAGTGTTTTAAAGAAATAAAAATAAAAGATTATCGACTGAACACAAATTCACCAGACTTCAATGGTGGTGTGTAGTGGGAAAGGCAATTCTGGTCCAAATTTTTCTCGCTCGTAGCGCTTTTGGTTTGGTCTGCAGAGGGGATGCCCGTCTTACATACCCTGACCGTTTTACCCCACTTTCCCCTACCTAGGGTCAAAAATATACCACCAATCACGAGTACCTACTCATTGGGAGCAATCGAGTGGTTTTTGTTGCGAAGCACTACGACGCTTATTTTCGAAACGCCAGGGGGTCGCATCGACCCCCCCCCCCCTGCCAGGCTGCGTTGGGAAAACTGCCCTGCCAGGGCGAGGGCTATTGTTCAAAGTCTAATGTTCTGGCATCCGTCACTGGCGTCACTGTGGGGGACAAAAGGGCCTGACTTCCCCATGATGACCAAAATGTTTGGAGTCATACTGCCTTCCCTGAATAATCAAGAGCAAGCCCATGGTGAGACCATAGGTACTGTCAGATGGCCTCGAACGGGAGGAAGGCCGTTTGAGAGTGAGCTAAGGGTCTTGACTGTTACCAATATCCTAAAATGTGTAGTCTCGCAGTGCAAGCTGTCATCCCACCCCGAGACTTTGGGACAGATCTCCAGCCCTTGTTGGATGTGGTCGCCCCTACAACTGAAGCTTTGGCTCCACTCCCTATATCGAGGACCCGGGCCGGACAGTCTAGATCTGCACCTCATTGTAATTTGTAGGCACCTAAGTAATGTAATCTTTGAATGTGCCAAGAAGCGTTCAGTGAGACAAAGCACTACATCACAAGTTATTTCACTCCGATGCGGGCTTAGAGATGCCGTGGGCGGGGGTGGGGTTGGAGTCGGAGACTCCGAGCGATTTTTAAAAGCCGGAGTCGGAGTTACCAAAAGTCAATCTACTCCGCAGACCGCAGCCCTGTAAGCAAGGGTACCTACCTACAGTGCCAGCGATTCGTATTACTCAATTTCTATATCTGCAATTTCATTTCAAAACAACAGTATAGGCCAATTCTCAAAGGCCAATTTCATAGGTCACTTTTTATATCATTCATGGGAATATTTCTTGCGGGGACGTCCCCCTCCCCGGATTCTTCGAATGGGGGGGACGCGTCCCCCGTCCCCCCGTGGCCCGTCCCCCCGGTTTCGACGCCCGTCGCCCATGCTAACCGGGTCCGGCCTCACAGGCATTCTCAGAAAGGTACAGTCCACAGCAGAAGTAATGTGGGGTTTCAGTCATGGGTATGTTCTGCTTCTGAAGCTTTGGAACGATTAGCCAGACTACAATGAAACTTTGAATGTAGCTTATATGTATCCTCACCCTTGCAGCTGCAACTTTAGCTATTGACATCTCCTTTTCGATCACTCCGCATTAAACAATCGCCAGTCAAAGCCAACCGTTGAGATTGGTAAAACCCTACATTACTTTAGCGGTGGGCTGTACCTACCCCGCAAGGTATCCCCAATTTTTCCCGACTCCAGAATCTCATCGGATCTGTATCGATCTCAGGGGGTGCCCGGTCCGAGGTCGGGGGCAAGCTGCCCCGCTTGCCCCCCCCCCGTGGCGACACTAATGCCTAATGTCCCAGTGCCCACCTGATGCTAAAGATCCTTATATTGCCTAGGTACTTACGTCCGTCTCTGTATCAAGGCCGCTGTGCAGTGTACAGGGTGTCTCAAAAGTTCGCATACAGGTACCAGCCATGCTTTTTTGTCAATAATTCTGAATAAACGAGAAATTAACAGTCGAAATTTTGCATGGGCATTGGTAACAACCTTCCCCCAGCAGTCGCATTGTTTTCAAGCGCATTCGACCCTTCATGAGCCCACAAAAAGGGTTCATCTCATGATCTCTGACCATGGGTCAAGCATGAAAATGGAGGTTGCAAAATCGGGTCGGCTGAGAAACTCTCTGTTTCAGGAGTAATGGGAATGGTTAAGTCGGAAATGACACATGGCAAAGTGTCGGCGAGGATGAGTACAACATGATGATCATCTAATAAAAACGGTGGCTAAAATTTCTGAAGGACAAAACCATGCGAGACTAACAGCGTTTTGAACGACCCTCGTACGGCAGCAGACTCGTGCTCCGGAAAGCAGCTGAAAATGAAGGCATAACTATTGACAACTGACAAGAAGCTCACAGACAGAGGTTACCCAGTTTCAAAAATTGCAGGTCATCGTAAAATAGAGACAAAGTATCATTTGAAATTGTTTATAATATCTAGAACGCTAAATTTTTTGGGAAAATAACACGAAAATCATCAACACCAAGGACAACTGACCCTCCAAAAGTGTCAATTAATGTAAAGTTTTATCTTACGAAGTTTCAAGAGGCAGATCTGGAGCGAATAGCTTTCTTTTAGACACAAAATCCCGACAAAACCACACGATGGACAGGTTTTGGCCGTTTACAAAGCAGAACCTCTCCTGAGGAAAACACTCCGCAACCCAGCGAAGGTCTTGGCATGGGGAATGACGAGCGTTTGGGATTTGCAAAATTTGCACAATGTGTCTAAGAAACAGATGGCCGACACATTCTTCTACGATATGCTGCGAAATTTTTTCCCTGGCACTTCCCATTTGTTCAGGAATGGGGTTGTTTTGAAAAGGAAAATGGTGCTTGGGAGGTCGGCGCCAGTCATTCATGAAGGAGTTAGCGCCAGAGAAGACCTACAAAATACTCACGGATGGTGTCGATGCACGCTGTCGGCTTTCAGGGAGAAGCGGATGTTGCCGGGGAGCTCGTCAAACCTAATTCCGACGCAGAAACTGCAGAGGATTCCCTTACAAGAGCTTGAAAGCTGGTAACCTTTTATCAGCCTCCGGCAGCTGACGGAGCGACGAAAATCGGTATGGGCAAATATTTTTGGAGATACAGCAAAGGGTTTGATTTCCAACCTCCCGAATCAGTTGTCAAAGCAGGCATATTTGTCTAGTGTGCACACAGACACAAAAACCTTAAATTTTTTGCCGGTTCTTATATGCTTTATGGGCATGGGAAATGTGTATACGAACTTTTGAGACACCCTGTACAGTGTACACTGTACAGCCCTCTGCAAACTGAGTGGTTATTTTTTTCGACAAAACCGAGAATAACGCAAATTATATGCTATCGGTTACTCAGAAATCGTAACAGAAGACGCGCGAGACTACGCATCTTAGATTGGCATTACCATCGTATTCATTTTTCATCCAGTCTGGCAACAAACCCAAAGTTCATATCATATCTGCCCCCAAAACAAACATTTGCATTTTGTTGCCACCACAAGGCGTAGGTATAGGTACCTATACTTTGTTTAGTGATATCCCCAATCGAAGGAGTGGAGCATGGCGCAGCTATTAGCAGTGAGTTCCAACCGACTGATAACATAGCCTTTGAGTTATTAATTTATCGGTTTTGTCAAAAAGAGAATACCTACCACGCAGTCTGCCGAGGGCTGTACGATTTTAGGACTAAAGTACGTATCGCTAAAGTACGTAGGACAAAAGTACGTATGCAAATGTTCGTACGCAAATATACGTAGGCGATAAAGTTCGTATGCCAAAAGTACGTACGCAAATGTTCGTACGCAAAAGTACGTATGCAAAAGTACGTAGTGTATAAAGTACGTATGTCAAAAGTACGTACGCAAATGTTCGTACGCAAAAGTACGTATGAAAAAGTACGTAGTGCATAAAGTGCGTATGCCAAAAGTACGTACGCAAATGTTCGTACGCAAAAGTACGTATGCAAAAGTACGTAGTGTAAAATGTACGTATGACAAAAGTACGTACGCAAATGTTTGTACGCAAAAGTTTGTATGCAAAAGTACGTAGTGTATAAAGTACGTATGCCAAAAGTACGTACGCAAATGTTCGTACGCAAAAGTACGTATGCAAAAGTACGTAGTGTATACAGTACGTATGCCAAAAGTACGTACGCAAATGTTCGTACGCAAAAGTTCGTATGCAAAAGTACGCAGTGTAAAAAGTACGTATGCCAAAAGTACGCACGGTTCGTATGCCAAAGTACGTAGTGTATTAAGTACGTATGCTAGAAGTAGGGTATAGTAGTGTAAGTTGAGCCACTTTTTCTTTATTGCTGCTCTGTTGCCATACTACAGGGAACTCATGATAAATTCATATACCAAATAATATACCTTTGTCCATTTCGCCCATTTACTCATCGAGAAATTTTGCTATGCCTTGTAACAAATGCTCATTAAAAAAAGAATAAGAAAGGTATTACACATTGATCAACTTAACCCAAGGGTGGGGTACGTACTTAATACCCTACGTACATTTGCTATACGTACTTTTGTCCGTGACGTACTTTTGTCCACACGTAGGGTAGACCGGGGCAAGTCGCCCCGCCGAGGTAAACACTGTTTAGACAGGGGCGTTTTTCGCCCCCCTGTCTAACTCCGTAAATAAGAGAGCTACGCAAACAAAGGCGATACCAAACGAAAGGTCCTTACGAGACGCTTCTAAAGCACCTAATTTTTTGACCTCAGGCCAATTTTCAAGGTCAGAGGTCAAGGTCAAAGGCAAAAACCGGCACATGTGTAGTGATCTCAAAGTGAGCGTACTAGAGGACGGCAGGATGCATAAAACCGGTAACATTGGGTGTCAAACGAAAGAAGAGAATCTGAGAATTCCGAAAATGTGCTCAACATCAAAGGTCAAGGTCAAGGTCATGCTCAAAATTGACCTCAAACTTACACTTTTTCGTACATCTTGTGTGTCAACTTCCAAGATGTTTTGAAATGTTTTGAGGCTTATCAGGTCCCTATTTGTGGTTCATCTTACGATACAAGGCTGCTCAAAGGTCAAGGTCACAGAAGAGAGTCCTTGCTAGAGGCTATTTCACTGATTCAAGTTAGTAATAATAAATAAGACAATTTTGCCATCCGGAGGCTCTAAATAAAGGCTTAGAGGAAAATAGATGCCAGATTCGTGATCAGCGGGTACGAATCCATCATAAACGACTTTTGATGTGTCAAGGTCAACCAAAAGTCATTCGTGGTCACATGAGGTCAACATAAAACTTGCCTTTTTCCAAACAAAATATATATCATTCGACGCGGCTTGACAAGACAAATGCGATGATACCACTGCCGTAGCTCTAGGACCTTTTTTGTCGAAGTTATTTGCGAAAAACTAAAACCACAGCTCGGGGTCGTTGACCTGACCTCTGATCTCAGGTCACTAAAACTATTTTTGTATTTTTGTCTAGGTCAAATGCTACACAACCGTGCTTGTAATTTGTCTTTATCTTTAAAACTCTATTTTTAGCAGCTATTTGAAGTTCGCGTCTGTGACACCGAAGTTTGCCGTGCAGGGGTCTAGAAAAATCGACTTTGTGACGGCATCAATGGGGCTAGGTCCAAATTTTTTACTTCAGATGATGTCAAATTGATGGGAGAAAAGGTACTGAAAGTTTTGCTTTCCTATCCCTAAGCGTTCGGGAGCTATCGCTAATATTTGCCAGGAGGGGGGGGGGGGGGCGAAAAACGCTCCCCCGGGCCCGCGAGGGCTAATCTAGTGTATGGGGCTTCTTGCCTCAGGCCGTGGGGCGTTTTGCCCTGGGGTTGGGGCAAAATGTCCCATTTGCAGTTGCTTCACAAAGCACTTCCTAGCTGGGAGTCCGATCATAAGTGAATGAATTTGAGGGATGGAATTTAGAGTAAAATGTCCAAAGAACACATTGAGCACAAATTTGGCCTTCCAGGTGATGTGAGACAAAAGTAGGTACCTATGTAGCAAAATAAATTATCTGGGGCGTCTTGCCCAAGGCTACCCTACTTTATACCCTACGTACATTTGCTATACGTAGGCTTTTGTACGTGACGTATTTTTGTCCATACGTACTTTATACCCTACGTACTTCTGCGATACGTACTTTTGTCCGTGACGTACTTTTGTCCATTATACGTACTTTTTACCCTACGTACATTAGCTATACGTACTTTTGTCCGTGACGTACTTTTGTCCATACGTACTTTATACCCTACGTACTTCTGCGATACGTACTTTTGTCCCTGACGTACTTTTGTCCATACGTACTTTATACAGTACGTACGTACTTCTGCGATACGTACTTTTGTCCCAGATGTACTTTTGTCCATACGTACTTTATATTGTACGCACTTCTGCGATACGTACTTTTGTCCTTGACGTACTTTTATCCATACGTACTTTATATTGTACGTACTTCTGCGATACGTACTTTAATCCTACGTACTTTTGCTTACGTACTTTTGTCCTACGTACTTTAGCGATACGTACTTTTGTCCGTAACCCGGGCTGTACATACATGCGTTGTAGGTAGCGCTAGCATAGCTATAATCTGCTATATAGGTGTCGCTAGTTATCGTGAATATGCTGGTATATGTTCTAAATGTTGCTCTTTCGAGACCGTTTGGGTTATAAAGTGCCTTTGAGTTTTGATGACGTCATCAGTAAGGCTCTCGTATCTAGAATGCTGAGCTTCAAAACATGTGAGTTTCAGTTTTGTAAATATGTTTTATGAATTTAATTGTGATAATAAAGCTGTTTTCATTGAGTCCATTAATATTGAGCCGACTTTTCTGTAAAAAATATCATGTGTTATAATTTCTTGCAAGGAGATTCGTCAAATCCAGATATTTCTATGACGTCATAGTTATATAATCATTTATTTGGAAGATTTAGAAATACTGCATCCACACATTGTTTGACGTGGATGTTTGGGGTTGGGTGAGACTAAATGCTTACTTCGAAATCTAAGCTGCGTTGCGGCATTGGCGGTTATGTGCGGCGTGTATGCCGCATGATTAGTAAGCGGCGACCACTAAATTAAAAATTCAATAGCTTCGACCTGTTTTCGATGGATAACACTGCATACCAAAAATGTCCATCGCTCTCGTCATAGGATATTTAGATTTAAATAACTAACTTATCTACATCATTGTTTTGAACCAAATTAATACTCAGCAGCGAACGTATAAGGTATAACCCCTTGCCGTTTCGCTCCTGATCAAGCTAGAGCTTCGCGGAAAAAACGAGCGTGTTGCCCGTGACGAGAGAAAGCCGATGATACCCAATTTTAAGGTCCTAGGTTATCGGTTGACCTTCCAGGTCAGGTCAATGACCCAAAAGGCGGGAAAATTGGGACCTGTTAGAACGTCGTAGTGTGGCTGCTATGGGGTTTTTCGGGGTGCTGATCACGAACATCATGCTAGTTTTGATCACAGATGATGTCTTCATTCATTTAGGCCAGGTCGGGTTAGGTCAGGTCAGGTCAACCAGTAGAGGTCCTGCCAGGTATTTGTAGTAGGTGTCAACCGCCTCTGACAGCCTCGTAACATGTTACGAAGGCACCAAAACTACTTTGTAAACGTTCATGTGGTTGCTTAATTCGAATTCAGCTCGAAAAAACTGACCTAGAAACATGTCAAACTCGAAAAAGTGAACCGAGGTCACCAAAGGTCAATGACCTGACCTGACCTTCAGGTGACCTTGACACCCACCCTAATGCATGGGGGCAACATCATATCACATGTTTGAACGCTTGAAACCACGAAAAGACTGCAAACGCGCTGCTAATGCGAGCCGACATACGCTGAATCGCGGTTCCGGCCAAACATGGTCTCGAAAAGTAGGTCACAGGTCAAAGGTCATTTGGGTCAGGGTCATGAAATTTTCAGGATGGGTGTTAAATTGATCAATGCGAGGGTACTGAAAGTTTCGTCGCGATCAGCCGCTTTTTAAGCGAGTTATTCGCGAAAAACCTTAGGGGGGTTGCATCAACCCCCCCCCCCCTGTGCGGGTGAGGTCATGTTTTGATAGCAAGACTGAAACAGACTTTTTTGGGTAGCCAGGAAATCGCATGCCAGAGCCTATTCAAATTCTTTTATCGGCCTTTATATGCACCAGTCGCATACAGGTACGGGATTTAGCATACGATTTCCAGACAATCGAACGACTGTTTGGAGACAACAAAGGAAGGAATGAGTGAGTTAAGTTGAAAGTATTAATTTGGTTCAAAATGATAATGTAGATAACCTAGTTATTTAAAGCTGAATATCTTATGACGAGAGCGGTTGGCATTTTTGGTATGCAGTGTTATTCATTGAGAACCGGTCGGAGCGTTTGAGTCTTTAATTTAGTGGTCGCCTCTTACTAATCATGCGGCATACACGCCGCACATAACCACCAATGCCGCAACGTAGCTTAGATTTCAAAGTAAGCATTTAGTCCCACCATTTGGGGTTGGGCGATGCGAGAGTTGAATATGATATCTTGAGTTGACTGGGGAGTTGGGAGGTTTGAGGTGAGGACTGAGGAGTGTGTGGAGTTTGTGGGTAGATGCTGGTGATGTTTTGGCAGTTTCGTGGCGGGTCTGCAACATTTTAGGTTCACAGCCGCCAGTGGATATCAATATTCGGCATTTAGAGGCTCAGGCAGACAAAGGGGCATTTTCCCCTTTCCAATTCTGATCGGCGTTTCGGTATCGTCATTGTCGGAAGTGAAAGGGCAACCGACACAGGACAAGGACGAGTCAGAGCAATCAGAGAGTAGGTAAGTTTTCAGTCAGTGTTTGGTTTTGCTTTATGGAGTCAGCAGTGATCGATTATTGCAGTCCTCTTTCTTGTGTTGAAACCTGAGCGCAAATTGAATTTCAGCAATTATAACTTATTTTCACCTTAAGATAATACCTGTTCAATTTGTTTTTATTTTAAGAAGTAATATTAGAAAATTATGACAATGTGATTTTATTTACTTTTGAAGTGTAAAATTAACTGCCAAAGGTCCTATGTTTATGTTCGTAATTGTGACATGTGCCATAATTGTGGATCAGAGCCTTCAGTCAAATGTGGACCTCTTAAGTCTCAACTGACTGGAAGCTGCTGAAGGTTTCTTGAGATTTGCAGAGAGCTTTCTGCTGGGGACCAGTCTGTAAAGTATGGCAATTTCGACAAGATCTTGGTGTGGGCTTGTTCGGCTGGTGCGGATTTGGTGTGGTGCAGTGCAAATTCAGAGGCCTGGTGCGGTGCAGATTTGGTGAAGTGCTGTGCGGAATGGCTTAGTAACGGACATCAGTTGTGGGGGCAAACTGCCCCCGGTTCCCGCGCCTATGTTCAGTGTTAACTGTGCCTACCTAGTGAGAAATAGTAATGCCATCCCTTAAGGTGGTACATCGAGTGATATTTAAAATAAGACCTTCCCCATTGCTAATGTTCGATACAAAACTGTTTCAGGCCATATGTGATGGAATTCGGCCCACAAGAGGCTGCGTAAGGATCTTTAGTATCAATTAGGCACTGCCGACTAGATGTAGCTCTTTCCAACACTGATGTAGTATCATCAGAGGCTATTGCATTGCACCCTAGAAGGTTGAGTCCCTTAGAGGCTGAGAAAACGCTATGAGAGGTCGGAATAAAGCCTTCAGGGGCGTTACATTTACCAGTACACACTGTGCCTAATGTTTACGATATTGGTGTAATTCGATTCCCATGCCAGCAGGAGCCTCCACCTCCATACAGACCAAGGCTATATAAACCATACAGACCTATATTTAACTGTTATGGAGAGTTGAATTTTACACACGACCACGGTGACGAGGTGACGGCTGACTTGTCTCCGGCAGCCGGCCGAGGAGCGGGAGTCGGAGGCGGGCACGGAGCCGCGACCATGGCGGCCGTGGGGCGGGCGCCGCTGCGCCTGCTGGCCATCGGCGCTGCCCTGCTGCTGGTGGTGCCGCTGGTGATCTGTGGCGACGACCCGTCGCTGGACGTCGCCGACAGGGGCTCAGGTCAGTCGGCGGGTGGCTCTGCTCGCGGGGCTGGTATCTCTGACATTAACTTTGGCCAGTCAGTTTGGTGGATGTGTGAGTAAAAACCCTTATGTCTGAACTTTATCCATGTCTCCCCTAATCATGTTAGCATGTTTGATTGTCGATTATGTAGGGAACATAAGGTGGCACGTCGACCTGTATTGACAGCTGGTTGGTGTCCGGCGTGTTTGATTGGGCCGCTCCTTGGTGACAGGACTGCCGAGTCGGAGTCGGAGTCGGTCGGAGTCAGTGGTTTTGACCGGAGTCGGGGTCGTAGTTGACATCCCTCGGCTGAAAGTCATGCCCTTAGCTTGTTAATTGTAGCATTTTAAGTCCGTTTTCGAACAGTCGTGTTGTTCGGCACTTATTGATTACAAGCATAAAGAAAAAAAAAAAGCAGTCGCTGAGGACGGGTCGGATCGGAGCTGGAGTTTCTGTAGGTCGTGATGGTCGTAACTCCTAGGGGTCCGATCAGTGTGGGCCCGCTCTGAATATTGAAGCTTCCTGGGTCCACTCAGACCGGCCGAGGTCCTCTCATTCCTGCGCTAAGATCTCGGAGGCCATTGTGAGCCCATTCGACCGTCGGATGACCTCGCAATAGAAGAAGGCTGTTTGGGAGGGGGTTGAGGGTCATGTAGAGGATCGTGAGTCCCTCGGAATGCTGGGCCTCTTCGTGTTGACCCCCACCACCGAGCCCGAGGCATTGAGACCAATCTTCAGTCCTCGTTGGATGCGGCCACTCTTACTGGAGCTTGGACTCCCTATCAAAATCTGGGGCGGACAGGAGCTGCAACTCGGTGTAATGCCATCGTTGAGAGAGATGTTCTGAGTCGAAGCGGGAGTTGGAGTTGGAGCGGGACCAATGTTGGAATTGTGAATTTTGGTCCTGGTCCCGGAGAATAAAATCTGTCCGGAGAACCGGCCAGCTTGTAGAACACTCACCAGGAAAATCACATGTTTGGCCTACTAAATGTGACAGTTGATAAAATGTGTTCTCTCAATGCTATAGCTGCACGTTTTATATGTAATAATAGCAGTTTTTCATCACGCATGGGCTGGAAATTTAGGAAATTTCAGGTGCCGTAGTATACATTTGTAAAGGAGAACAAAATCGTTTGGACCCGACTGGGACCAGCAAAGGACCTTATTTCCAACATTGAGCGGGACTTGGGAGGCGGAGTCAGTTTTGTTAACCCGGCAGTTGCTGGGGTATTTCGCCACCCACCGTTTGCTGGGGGGGGGGGGGGCGTTAAACGCCCCCAGCCGATAACTCGAGAACCAATAGGCGCAGCGAAACGCACGAGGCGGCAAACGAAAGAACGCGACGAGACGCTTCAGATGAGTACTTTAAAGTTGAATTTTGAGGTCACAGGTCGGGTCAAGGTCAGGTCAAACACCTGAAATCGGGCTTTCAGTAGCATGGACTTCAGGACTTCGCAATGGGCGCCTCTCGTCATAAACTCTGTCAAAACGGTGCACAATCCATCAAATAAGGCCAACAAGAGTGTCAGCTCCATGTAGGGGTCAGTCAAGCATAGGTCAGGGTCAAGGTCAGGTCAACCGGGTAGGCACATATCCCCGAAAATCAAAACTGATATTCGCAGCCTGTGACACATGTTTTGTGGGTAATTTGGGGCGTAGAACACGATGGTGACATTCATTTTATCATATGTGTACATGTTTGGCTCAAAAAGTCCAATTGAAGAAATGCATGTATCATGGGCGTGAAGTAGTCACGAGAAATTGTCAAGATTCAGTTCAAGATTTTGGAAAATGCGGAACGATAATCAATAATCGAAGATAGCCATTTGATTGTTCATGGTATTGGTAGTCTAATGGCGTTTACGGCATGTCTGTATGTCTATTCTGTGATTTTATATGATTTTTTGAACATATGCCGTTTTTGGTCGAAAACTCAGAAATCATGACGTCACTAAAACCTCGATATCTCAAAAACTTTCCGACCGATTTTTTTGAAACTTTGTCACAATACACTTCAATCAATTCCCTACAGGTACCCAAAATTTGGCGCGCCTGCGGCGCGCCGTTTTTATGCTATGGCCCGGCGAAAAAAGTGGGGGCGTTTAACGCCCCCCCCCCCAGCAACTCGCGGGTTAAGATGGAGTCGGAGTCACTGAAAATCCATCGGCTCCGCAGCCCTGCGTGCTGGTGGGTGGGGCCGGTGCCTGCCTGGGGCGGTCTGGAGAGCAGATCACCTCTGCTGGGGGGAGGGGGGGGGGGGGATTTGCTGTGGACGGGCACCGGCCACCGATAGCCAGCGGCCATCCTTCAGCGGCTGTGATTGCCGAGCGGTGGACGAACGGGCACCGGCGGGTCACAGTGGTCGGCAGACGGGCCCGGCGGGTCCCAGTGACTCCCACAGACGGCCCCGGCGGGTCACAGTGACGCCAACAGAGGGCCCCGGCGGGTCACAGTGCCACCCGCAGAGGGCCCCGGCGGGTCCCAGTGACACCCGCAGACGGCACTGGGGACGGCCCCGCCCGCCACTAGCACTGAAGACGGGCTCTGACCGTTCCCCGACCGACCAGCAGACAAACAGTGACCGGGGTCTTCCAGTGCTGGTGATGTCCTTTCACTGCTCTGTGATTGGTTGGTGACAGGTCTCCGTGTCGGTTGGTGACATTTGTAGACTAGTTGGTGATTTTGTGTCCTCGCTGGCAATTGATCTATCGGTCGATTGGTGACACTTTTCTCAGTCGTCTCTTGTGACATCTATATCTGTTAGCTGGCAACAGCCGAGAAGCACCATTGACGGTCATTGTGAATGAGTTTCTCACACTTTCAGACTTTATAGCTGAGTGTTGAACTTTGATTGGTGGATTCCGACTGCTTAGCTGTCGAGTATTCTTGCTTCGCTCGCTCAGTGAGTTTGTATGGAACACCGCAGCAGTGCGTGGTGGGCCGGTGGGTGGCAGTGTGTGTTCCGTGCAGACCGTTCGTTTGGCGGCGGATGGAGGAGCGGGCGCGCGCTACAGCGCCGCTGAGGTTGTGCAGTGTGCACCGAACGCCCCGCGCGTGAGGTACTGAGGGCGGCCGTGTTCTGGGCCTACCTCCGTCCGGTACCGGTTCTGCCGGTTCCGCCCCTGCCCGGTACCGCCCCCTGCCCCGGTACCGACCCTGCCCCGGTACCGACCCTGCCTCCGCCCGGTAACGTCCCTGCCGACAGGGTGGCGAGATCGTCCCTGCCGTTCATTAACGTTATGGGAAATGGGAAGTGGTGGAGAGTGGCTCGAGCTCGGCAATTGCAGAAGCTAGGCCGAAGGCCCGAGGCCTATGAGGGATAATTATTTTATACCAGGGATGCGGAGCCGTGGAAATTTCAGACGGCTCCGGCTCCGGCTCCGGCTCCGGAGAAAAAAATCGGCTCCGGCTCCGGCTCCGGCTCCGGGTGAAATGTTATGGCGGCTCCGGCTCCGGCTCCGGCTCCGAGTAAAATGGTCCGGCTCCGGCGGCTCCGGCTCCGGCGGCTCCGGCTCCGACTCAGTACATCCCCTATGCAATCAATTAAATACGGGTGGAAGAAAAATTGGATTGGTACACGTTGCTTCTGTATTTGCATAACAACTAACAACTAAGGCTATTTTTCTCAACAGCACATGCAATCAGCGAACAGAGTATATAAGCACGTGGCGAAATGTTATGAGCATGACTTATGTGTTAAGTATCCTTCTCAGAAAAAAAAAATACCCGAGGCATTAATGGCCGGAACCAGGAAACCCGTCTCGTCCTGCACTCACTCAGAGTTGCTGATAGTAAGTGACAACGTTCGCATAGTAGGTATGCGCCTGACTAGATCGAACTGACAGACCGCCCTCATTGTGTGCTGTTTATTCGCTGTTGCAGCGGATGAGAAGCATGGCCTCCAGAATGTCCTCCTTCAGACGCGATCGCAGGTCGGTGAGCAGCAGTTTCATAGCCGAAAACAGCCTCTCTACCGATACCTGCGTCGCTGGAAGGGCGGCCATCACCATGCTGGTTGACTTGAGGGGATCGGGATAGTGCTCTATGATGTCCCACACTGTGGCTCCCTTCATGCGCCCCATGTTTCGGAAGTCCATTTTGGCGACCTCCATCGTGGATGTCGATGCTCTTTTTTGCGCTTTGTGTCCTTGTTCCAGCCGATCCAGCTCGCGTTCAAAAGGATCATCCTCCTGTGGAGAATGTACGCAAACCGTTTGTTAGCCACGTTTTTTTTCATTGCAGTGGCAAATAGTACGTACGTATGCATTACACAGTCGCTTACACTTGCTACCCAGAATCCTAGACATGATTAGGTACATCAGCGGTGAAGGTGCTGGGTAGCATGTGCTGACGACTGTACAATGTAGGTACATATGGCATTTAATGCTGTTTACTGGGCTTCATGGAATAAATTAACATAACCACAGCCAGCTCATTTACTTTTCTACTTTTGACTATTGACTAAACCGCGCAGAAAAAAGGCTCGTAAAATACGCGGAACTATTAAGATGGAACTGTCAATATGCGATGTGATAAGTTGTAAAAACTAAAGCAAACATTCCTTTCATTTGAACACATTTTATAGTTATATTCGATGTCTTATGTAATAATAAAAGTAAAACTCCTGTATTGTATGCACAAAACAGCCGGGCATCAAATGTTAAACAACAATAGTAAATTAAATCAAAGGGGTACCTGTTCAGAAGTGATGCTTGCGTTGGGGGAGTCGACTGCTGGAGCTGTTCCATGCACCTGCTGAACCCGATCTGCGATGTTTTCGAATGCTTGTCCGGCCCTCTCGAACCTTTCGCCCAGAAGAATACGGTAGCGCGTGTCCGCGTAGATGGCAGCGAGCAGAACATCCGACTCCAGCATCTTCTCCTCACGTTGTTTCATGCTTGCCGCGATGGCAGAACCGATCGCACCTCCTTTCTCCAGCAGCTCTCGGAGCCTGCACCACTCCTTGAAGAACACTCCTGCTGTTAGGTCGGCGCTCT